TTACGTCATATATTAATAGGGTACAAGGTTACAAGTTATAGCATTAACATCATCGGATGCCGGCTCAGTAGTTTAGTTGGTTAAGCGCTTCGCATTGAGACTGATAGGTTTCGGGTTCGAATCTCGTTGGGCGGGATCGTAGATGCTCACTGCTGAGGAGTCCCACAATAAGACGAAACGGCCGTCCAGTGCTTCCAGGTTTCCCATGGTGGTCTAGCTTCAATTGACTCATGATTTCAATCAGTGAAATTTCTAAATCTCCACAAACCCCTTCTGATAATTATAAAGGTCATTATCATGACTTTTAAACTTTATTTGAAAATAATCTACATTTTCGAATTTCCATCAAGTGTGATGTAAATCTTTCTCAGATCACTCGTCCTTTGTTATTATTATTACTGCATTTTTCGTTTTACTTATGTCTCATATTCTCATTATTTTATTCATAATTGCTCATGATCTTACCTTATTTATACTTTACACCTCTATTACCTTTAATTACCTACAATTATTGTAACAAAAACATCTTAATCAAATAAAGAATTTGTGGATAGTATAGTACTTTAATAACTGAATTCATGAGTCAAATGAAACTAGATCACCATTGAAAGCCTGGAAGCAATGGATGGTCATTTCGTGCTAGTATGTGACTCCTCAGCAATGCACGTCCAAAAAACCCCTATTTGATTATAAGCATCATATGCTTATTGGTAACAGTCTCCAAAAGTTACTTCCTGGAGTTCTAGTGAGAACTAGTGGAGTTCGCTCGGGTCGGTTGTGAGATAGTAACTCGCTGAAGACACTAGTGGATGGGTCACAGAATTTCGTGGATTGGTTGAAGTTAGACATTAACACCGTCGAATGCCGGTCGGGTCAGTGATCTCGAGGTTAAGCATTCGCTCGTGAAGTGAGACAGTGGATGCACAGTGTTAAGGAGTCTCACAATAGGAGGAAACAGCCATCCAATTCTTCCAGGTCTTCCATAGTGACCTAGCTTCAGCTGACAAGTATTGCGTTCTGGGTTTCTAAACATTTTTGGAGTATCCTCGTAAATTCTCTGTTTTGGAAGACAAAACAGATGAGGGCATGTCAATTGCAAATTTATCACTAAGTAATTTGAAATCTGTAATTAAGTCACTTCTAGTTCGTCGGTAATAACAGTGAGACTACGTTTAGCTCAGTCAGTCGAGCATCATAAGAGCGCTTCCCTATTCCGGGACTCAGCTTAGTTACTGTTCTATGAACCATTTCCAAAATATCACTGTCTTTTGTTAATCAGAGGCTAACTGGTTGTATCAAGCACTCAAGTTTAGGACGCACCAATACTTACTATATACAAAATAAAAAAAACATTCAGCTTCAATATAACTAAACTCCCTACGTACTGATCATCAAGTTCTAAAACCTTTGGCGGCTATTCAATATTCTCGTATATACTGATGATAAACCATATGTAATGACCAATGAATGAAATCAATAATTCAATATAATATCGACAAATCTCTATATAAGTAAATCATAAGTATTATTAGGGTTAGAACATTATCCATAGTGCCTATTTTTTCTTTCTTGTTACATAATACCATTAAGCTATTTAAACTTCAGACAACTTCTGGGTTTTTCTTATCTTCTGGAAAAACCAGACATTATCTTAGGCGTCAGTTCAGTTGGTTAAAGTCAGTTTTTTTTAAAAATAAACCCATGATGTACCATGAAACATATAAATCTGTATTATTCTTCCTTAATTTATTCAAACCAAATTGGGTTATTGTTTATGGAAAGTTTTATAGATTATATATATTTTTTTATTCAGTAACATGTACTTAAATGATTACAGAAACTATTAGAATCAAATGATCCAATAAGAGTACTTACTTACTTACTTACTTACTTACTTACTTACTTACTTACTTACTTACTTACTTACTTACTTACTTACTTACTTACTTACTTACTTACTTACTTAGTTACTTAGTTACTTACTTACTTACTTCTGTTACTCATCGTGAAGTAGCATAGGCCGCTCACCAGCATTCTCCATCCAACCCTGTCCCAAGCAATCCTTTCCAGCTCCTGCGTAGACAACTATTTATAAATACTTGTACATGTTTGATGATGGTTGTAGTAGTTCTCCAAGTTTCAGCTCCGTACAGTAGAAATGACTTGACGTTGGTATTGAAGATTCTCACTTTGATATTGGTTGAAAGTTGTTTTGAGTTCCATATGTTCTTCAACTGTAGGAATCCGACCCTTGCTTTGCTGATCCTCGCCTTTACGTCTGCATCTGAACCTCCTTGTTCATCGATGATGCTTCCCAGGTATGTAAAGGAATCTACATCTTCTAGAGTTTCACCACCAAGAGTGATTGGATTGCTGTTCTTTGTTTTGGATTTGAGGACCTTGGGTTTCCCTTTTAGTATCCATCATTTTTATTGTTAAACATATATAATTGAAACAGATCGCAAGATTGATCTTAACTCAACTTTTGTGTTGGTGTATAAAAGTGTAAAATGGTGTATATTAAGTGTTATAACATGTCGTTTGAATGCTTATTGTCTTGACTCTTTTAATGCTACTTTTTTGTATCTGGTCGTCGCTGATTCTTATGTCGGAAACGCTTATTACTTATACTCGGAACGATGGACCTCTGCAATTCCTATGACGCGAAAGTAAGAACACAAGACTGGTATAAGTGATGATTTATTAACTCAAAAACACGACGATGACGACAACTCTAGTAGAAAATACACTCATTTATATATTGATTCATACACCCATTTTGATTAATAATTAGGATGAAATCACATATATAACAAATCACATACTGAGCATACTTCATGTCAATGGAATACAAAAATATCGTATATTATACAGAACAAAATATCATACGAGAAAAGAAAACCGAATGCCACATTGAGTAATCATTACATTGAATCAAAACGGAAATAATCTTGAACAAAACTCATAATGAGTAAATCAATCAGAAATTGACTTTCCTTTCCATTATATCATTGAGGTTTATTGAAATATTAGCCATACGAAAATTCAAACTCTATTTTATGTATTCAGAAACAATTTGTTCACACCTTAAACCTATCCTGATAATATTTGATTATTGTCCAGAATGATGAGGTTTCAAATTGTTTTCACATTAAATAATTGAATTCATGAGTTAATTGAAGCTAGATCACCATGGAAGACCTGGAAGTACTGAAATGTTAACTCGTCCTATTGTAGGACTCCTTGGAAGTGCACATTCACGATCTCGATTCGCGAGATTCCAACCCAAGACTTATCGATATCGCGTGCGAACGCCTAAACTCTAGGTCACTGACAGGGCCGGCATCCATCCGTGGTAATATATAACTTCAACTAATCCACGAAATTGAGTGACATATTCACCATTTGTTCAATGAGTTACTATCTCACAACAGACCCGGTTGAACTTCACTGATCAGTGCTTCTCATTAAAACCTCAGGAAATAAGCTTTGAAGGCAATCGCTAGTGAACATATGATGATTATAATCAGAGAGGGGTTTTGCGGATATCGTAATAATTTAATTTTTGAATTCATGGGTCAATTAGATCCCAGCTCAGTGGTCTAAAGGTTAAGCGTTCGCGCACGAGACTGATAACTTCTGAGTTTGAATCTTGTTAGGTGAGGTCGTGAACGTGCACTTCTGAGGAGTCCCATACCAGGATGAAACGCCCATCCAGTGCTTCTAGGTTATCCATGGTTGTCTAGTTTTAATTAATTCATAATCTTAACGATTAAGACATAAATTTATTATCAGTTATCTTATTTATTCTTCTTCATCTCTTGGTCCAGTGTAAAGTTGACCAGTTTGCTAGATAAATAGTATGCATATGTATTTCATATTGGTCCACCAGGGTGCTTGGTACCTGTGGTTGCGCCACAGGATTGAGCCGTACTATTCAGATTGTAGCCTTAAAGCCTATACGGTATCTGGTTCTCACATGAAGCGGGACTGAGCTGTACTACTCGGCTTATAAAATTTAAGCCTGGGTGGTGTCTGGCTCTCCTGTTAAACGGGATTGAGCTGTACTGTTTGGGTTGACACGTGATGGTCCAGATGATGTCTGGTTCTCCTGAAAAGCAAGGTAAAATTACCCTGGCTCACAAGGGTATATTATATAACCGTAAGTGTATTTCATATAAACAAAACGTTACTTAAATGGTAAATCAGTAAAAACAAAATGTTTAATTATTGAATATTCTATAAAGTGCACCGATTTTTATATGTGTTTATGACATATCCTATTAATGAAAGAACAGATTTCCCTCATTAAAAGATAATTAGACAACGAATCGTGATATATACACACACGATTATTTGAATAATATCTCATATAAAGATAGATGTAGTTCTGCTTTGCAAGTGACCATAACCTGTTGAAAACACCGGTTCTCGTCCGATCACCACAGTAAAGCAATGTTGAACACGGTCAGGTCTTCACTGTAAAAATTTGAATTTGGAAAAGAACAATATACATCACGTGAAGTGAATAAGTAGACCATATTGTAATGAATAAATAAGAAAAAAGTACTCAAGTACCTTGAATTATAGCAACTGTTTAAATTACTTAGGTCGATATTCAGACCGTAACTATGACGATATAATGGATATATAGTAAGACACATATATAAAAGCCAGTGACATTCTAGTTCTCATTCAATTGCCAGTTAGTTTCTCACTACCAACTTATTCACATTTGCTCTATAATTCAATATGCGTGAAATTGTTCATATTCAAGCTGGTCAATGTGGAAATCAAATCGGTGCAAAGGTGAGCAATATATATTTACACTGATTTCTCAGTTTTGGGAAGTGATATCAGATGAACACGGAATCGACCCAACTGGCACTTATCATGGAGATTCCGATCTACAACTAGAACGCATCAACGTACATTACAATGAAGCAACTGGTGGAAAGTACGTGCCTCGTGCCATTCTCGTCGATCTGGAACCTGGTACGATGGACAGTGTGCGTGCCGGTCCATTCGGACAACTGTTCAGACCAGACAACTTCGTGTTTGGACAGAGTGGTGCTGGAAACAACTGGGCCAAAGGACACTACACTGAAGGTGCAGAGTTGGTCGACTCAGTTCTCGATGTTGTACGCAAGGAGGCTGAATCGTGTGATTGTCTACAAGGCTTCCAACTCACCCACTCTCTTGGAGGTGGAACAGGTTCCGGAATGGGAACACTACTCATCTCGAAGATTCGTGAGGAATATCCAGACCGCATCATGAACACATTCTCAGTGGTCCCTTCACCTAAGGTAACACAACTTACTTATAAACGTATTTTCAGGTTTCCGACACAGTCGTCGAACCATACAACGCCACACTCTCTGTTCACCAACTCGTCGAGAACACCGACGAGACATACTGCATTGACAACGAAGCACTCTACGACATATGCTTCCGTACTCTGAAACTCACCACACCCACCTATGGAGACTTGAACCACTTAGTCAGTGCAACTATGTCAGGAGTGACTACATGTCTGAGATTCCCTGGTCAACTGAATGCCGACTTGAGGAAACTCGCTGTGAACATGGTGCCATTCCCACGTCTCCACTTCTTCATGCCTGGATTCGCACCTCTCACCAGTCGCGGCAGTCAACAGTATCGTTCTCTCACCGTTCCCGAGTTGACTCAACAGATGTTCGATGCGAAGAACATGATGGCTGCATGCGATCCACGACACGGACGATATCTCACAGTGGCTGCAATATTTCGAGGTCGCATGTCGATGAAGGAGGTTGATGAGCAGATGCTCAACGTGCAGAACAAGAACTCAAGCTATTTTGTTGAATGGATTCCGAACAACGTGAAGACGGCAGTGTGTGACATTCCACCACGAGGTCTGAAAATGTCAGTCACTTTCATAGGGAACAGTACAGCTATTCAGGAGTTGTTCAAACGTGTTAGTGAACAATTCACAGCCATGTTCAGACGTAAAGCTTTCTTGCATTGGTACACAGGTGAAGGTATGGATGAGATGGAATTTACAGAGGCAGAATCAAATATGAACGATCTCCTAATGGAATATCAGCAAACTGAAGCTGCAACTGCTGAAGAAGAAAGGGGATTTGAAGACGAAGAACATGAGGATGCATAAATTAAATCAGTTAGTCAAGTTTTCTATTCTTGCCCTAATGTTTGTTTCTAATCCTAGACTATTTTTGTTTAACGACCATATTATCTATCACTGAAGTCCGTTGAATTGCCCCAAAATATTTTTATTCACATTTATTTTGAAAGATCCGAATGCTACGTCATCATTCGCAAAACTAATGGCAGTCAATAGTTAATCATTTACTTATTAATTTGAATGAGAATTAGTAAACGTTTAGACTGATTAGCTTAAGTATGTGAGATTAATCATCTCTATGTAAAATGGAGGTTCCCATTCCCATCACAAAACTGAATAAATCGGTAGATATGTAAAGTGTAAGATTCATGTTCATATTAATTTATGAATCTTGTGTATTGATAAGTCAAGGGAGTTTTCATTCGACAACAATCCAGATAATTTAATTATATCCAATTGTCTAACTTACATACAAAATATTAGTTTCATTAGCATAACTTCAAAGAAATCTATTTTACTATTCTCAACATCATCGGTGAATTTATCAGCATATTTACAATTGAAGAACATCTAGAACTCAAAACAACTGTCTGTCAACCAACAACGTAGTAACGATTCTCAATACAAATGTCAAGACAGTTCTACTGTATGGGGCGAAAATGTGGAGAACTATGAAAGCCATTATCTAGAAGATACAAGTGTTTATTAACAGCTGTCCATACAAAATACTTCGGGTACGTTGACCAGACACTTTCAGCAACAATCTACTGTGGGAGAGAAGAAACTAGATTTCAACGGAGGAAGAAATGAGTAAAAAGCGCTGTAAGTGGATAGGACACATATTGAGGAAATCACCCAAATGAGTCACAAGTCTAGCGCTCATACGGAATCTTCAAGGCCGAAGGAGAAGAGGAAAAACAAAGAACATATTAGGCCGACAAATGGAGACAGACATGAGAAGAATGAACAACAATCGGATAGAAGTAGAAAGGAAGGTCCAAAACAGTGTGGATTGGAGAATACTGGTGGGCGGCCTATGCTCCATTGGGAGCAACAGGCGTAAGTTTGTAAGTGCTCACGACTTTACATTAGGAGTGAAAAATCAAAAGATCAATTCGTTCATCTATTTCAATGTATAAAGATAAGGAAGTTACATTTATTATGATTTGTAAATCAGTTCTAATACCGAGGTATTATCAGGAAATGTTCACCTGTCATAATGATAATTTGTATTAAATTTACCATACTACTATTAATACTTTCTGATTTTTAATTTTTGAACCATAGTAAACAATTGCTCAATATACAACCAACTAGTAAATAGAATATTTGATCCACGAACTGACAATAATCTGATAACTCAAATAAATTCGGCCAGATAATCAAATGAATAATTTCGCCTTTCATTATATAGCTTATCTTTTAAGCTACAGTGATTAAAACTAACTACTTTACACATCCAAACTATTTATTCGCTATATCATATAAGATTCAAACGTAGAAACAAATATATAGATGTTTATAATCAGAGAGAGGTTGAATTTGGACAATAACACCGCTGGATGCTGGTCGGCACAGTGGTCTAAAGGTTAAGCTTTCATGTGCGAGACCGACAGGTGTTAGGTTCAAGTCTCGAGGGTAGGATCGTGGGTCACACTTTTGAGGAGTTTCATACTAGGACAAAACGGACGTCCAATGCTTCCGGGTTTTTCATGATGGTCTAGCTTGAACTGACTCATAAACTCAACTATGAAATGAATATAGATGTTTGTTTGCTATGTATTTGAGCATAAAGGTCAGTCAAATCTCTATAAATATGAAAAACAATCTACATAATATAAAAATATCCATGATTTTAATAAAAATTTCACCTATTTATCGAACATTGGATACAAACATGTGATGATAATACTAAGGATGATTTACAAGACAGTGTATTACAGTTTTGTTTGTCTATTTTTATGCAGACCCATGTCTGGGAATTAATGAATCAAGAGAAGCTAAGCTTATGTTGGCTTTATCTCATGGTTCATCGTGTTAATTAGAAAGTAACTTTGGTCAGGTCTAAGGACGATAGGCTACAGACGATATACCATACTCGATATAAAGAAATTAAAATTGAAATTCATCAACACCATCTATCTTCAAAATTTGTATGAAATCAAGCCGAAAACATGGTGTTACTACAAGCTTCGAAGTAATGTGACATCAGAAGCTTCCAGTTACTTGGTTCTCATATACTGAATAGCTATCGATAAGCAAATAAATACTAGAAAGAAAAGATAATATGTTATATTCAGTAATGGTAAAATTAATATTTAATTTCAATATCACTAAGTGAACTTATAAAGTAGTATGTCGAACTGCTCAAAACAGTTTAAGCATAGCATTTATCAATAAGTTAATACTAATTGGAGAACTACTGACAAACAGTAAACATCTGATAACTATCTTGTTAAGTTTTAGGACTCCTCACAAGTTCTAACACATTATCTTACATAGAAACAGATCTAAAACTCTTCGAATTTCACGATAAGCATAGTCACTTAGTTACAATTCATTGATTGATTTATTCAATTTCTGTCTATTTCGCTATATATCACGTTTACATTTACAATGGAATCCGTCTCAATAAAAGAATTATCAGTATAGGTTTGTGGAGATGCGGATGCGCATTGCTGAGGAGTCCCACAATAGGACAAAACGGCAGTCCAGTGCTTCCAAGTTTTCAATGGTGGTTTAACGCCAATTGGTTCAAGATCTTTATCAATAACTTAATAATCTCCACAATCCTATACTGGTAAGTAAGAATTCCCGCTTCATTTCGGTTAGCATTTAAGTGCAAGTTCGAAAATGCAAACAAGAGTGAAGTTTATCTTCATACAAACAAAAAAATTACAACAACAAAAAATGAACTTAAGGTTTTCAATGAGTGTGAATCTAAGTTCCTCGGCTACAAATTTGGTAAAAGATCAGTTAAAAGTAAGATGACGTACAAGTATTTCTCAAATTTCTTACATTACATTTATAAAAATAGAATTTCTCTCAGAAATTTATCCAATGTCTCGCAACAGAAGAAGGAATCAGGAAGAATCGCTGGAAGTGGATAGGAAACAAATTGAGGAAACCACCCAACTGCATCACAAGGCAAACACTCATATGGGATCCTCAAGGTCTAAGGAGGACAGGATGACTAAAGAACACATTAGGCCTAGAAATAGAGACAGATATGAGAAGAATTAACAAGAATTGGATAGAACTAAAAAGGAATGCTCAGGATAAAGTGTATTAGAGAATGCTGATCGGCGGCCTAAGCTCTATTGAGAGTAACAGGCGTAAGTAAGTAAGTAAATCATCCAATGTAAACTCTTATCTTCGTTAAAAGTATTTTCCAGTTTATTGTAAGTTTCTAAATATACCAACAATGGCTTCAGTCTTATAATTGTATATAAAAATATTGTATGTTTATCAATTGCGTTTACTGAATACACTTTATACGTTAATTATGTAGAGAATGAGAACACAAGTGAGGACAACCATATGTATCTGGACATAACATTATAGAGTTACGTGGTAAAATGTGAATACTATACGTTCAATACTTCATTTGGAAGATGTCTATCTATTGTCTCAAACTTTATTCTTTCTTCATTTACATACTAATCACTTTCTGTTCCCGTTCTTTTCTATTCAATCTTCTCAACTTTCTACTGTTCATTATTCTACTTTCGATTGGTATTATATACTACTTATATCTGGTGAAGATTTGTAGCTAAGGTGGATGATTTTAATGGAGTTTTGTTCTCTGAGCTGGATGGTTTGGTCGTGGAGCTTTCATCGTTCTTCTTAACGATATCATCAGCACAAGCTTCAGATACTTATATCTATCGACATAAATGGTATACACCACAATTACAGATACCAAATTAACATTTTCACATTACTACAATTATTAACTCTATAAAAAATGTTTTTATTCAAAAAGTCAATTTGATCAAACTTCATTACTAAAATAATTGCTCATTTAAATCAACTCTCTATCTCTCTCTGTCTTTGTCTCTCATTTCTCTTAATTACTAACAATAGAAGTGCTTGATAACAAGTGAATGCAGAGTTATTTATCCCCTCTTAATTAACAATTCATTATGAGTCTATATTTGAATATAGAATTAATCAACCAAATAAAAATGTAAATCAACATATAGGGATTGTAACTACCGAAATGCCAATATTTAGTTTGAATGAAGGACTGACGAACCAAAATTTATTCGATTAAATCAGACTATTTCGCTCGCAATCACTTAACCACTAGACAACTGAGCCAGCATCCAACGGTGTTAATGCCTAGCTTCAAATAATCCACGAAAATGAGCGACACATTCACCATTGTCATCAGTAAGTTACTATCTTACAACAGACCTGGTCGAATTCCACTGGTCACTACTCACTAGAACTTCAGGATATACCTCTTGAAGCCAGTCACTAGTGAACATATGTTGATTAATATCAAATGGATTTTGTGGATATTATAGTAATTTCAATGGTTAAGATCATGAGTCAGTTGAAGCTAGACCACCATGGAAAACCTGAAAGTACTGGACGGCCCATTCGTCCTAGTATGGGACTCCTCAGCAGCGCATATCCATGATACCGCATCGTAGGATTCAAACCCAGGACATCTCGGTCCCGCTCACAAATGCTTAACTTCTATCTGCAATTTTCTATTTGTTAATGCATTATTGTCTAGATTAGGGGTCATTTATTCTTTAGACAGTGCAACAAATGCTCACTAGTGATTGACTCCAAGAGATATTTCCTGAAGTTCTGGTGAGAATTACTGACCATTAGAGTTGAACGGGGTTTGTTGTGAGATAGTAACTCACTGAAGACAATGATGGATGTGTCGCTGAATTTCGTGGATTAGTTGAAGTTAGACATTAACACCGTTGGTTGCCGGTCGTTTCAGTGGTGTAGAGGTTAAGCGTTCGTGTGCGAGACCGATAGGTCATGGGTTTCAATCTTGCTAGGCGATGTTGTGAATGCGCACTGCTGAGAAGTTCGACAATAGGAGGAAACGGCAGTCCAGTGCTTCCAGGTTTTCCATGGTAGTCTAGCTTCAACTGACTCATGATCTTAACCATTGAAATAAACCAGACTATGTTGGTTTGTATAGAGTACGAAGTGTTTTTGAGTTACTCGTAATCAGTTATGTCAAAACACAAACTATGTGCTTAATTTAAACGATTCTGGTTTAGGAAATAGAACAAATTATATAAAAATTAAAAAAATACCTCAAACAGTACAGTCTGTGTTATACAGTCAAGGTTTTCTCTAACACAAATTAGCGTGTTAAACAACAAAAGAAACAGTTAATACAAAAGAGTGCAATACCTGATAATCAAGATGGGATTAGATATCTATCTGCAAGGATTTCAGCAATCTTTCCAAGCAGACAGTCAAAGGTTAACAGTCACACAATGAGCCACGCCGTGACTTTAGCTTGGTCAAATACAACTTTACTGTCAGTAGTCCGGTAACATGCTGGAAAAAATTAGGCAATAAAAGGAAAGTATTTAATCAAAATCACATAATCAAACGTCAGGTGAAGAAAACTGAAGAACACTAAGTGTGGTTAAAAGAGATCTGAATAAAGGTTAAAAAACAAATAAATGATAGTACTGTCCAATGAAATGCTGTTCAGGGACTTTCAACGTTATCTTTCCGCTACAAGGGTTTTCTGTAAAAATTAAGGAAATCTGGATACATAGATTAGCTTAGATAAACTTTAAACGTTTCTCTATTGAGTAAACTGAAACAGAAAATCAACAGAATACACTGTATTTTAGTTAAGAGATCACCCTTAGAACTTATTCCTCATAGAATGATATCAATTAAGATATCATGAAGAACCAATTATCACTGCATAGTTGATTTGTTGTAGCGCTTTAATCTTCTGATGTGGTTGATGAAATCCACTCTGTATGAATAAATAATGAAGAAAAGATGCTAAATCAGTGAATAAAATAAAATCAAACCAGCGAATAAATAGAATCGTTACGAATTTCTGTTGAATACGGAGATTAGGTTAGTTAGCAAAAATCCACATAGCTCCTACTGTATGTTAGTAGTGAGATGAAAACCAGTTACTTACTTACTTTCGCCTTTTACCCCCAATCGAGCACAGTCTGCCGATCAATATTCTCCAAAACACTCTGTCCTGAACATTCCTTTCCATCCAATTCATGTTCATTCTTCTCATGTGTGTCTCCATTTCTCGACGTAATGTGTTCTTCAATCATCCTGTTCTCCTTTGGCATTGAGGATCCCATATGAGTGTTTGCCTTGTGACACAGTTGGGTGATTTCCCCAATGTGTTTCGTATACACTTCCAGCAATTCATCCTGATTTCTTCCTCCGCTTTTACAGACTACTCTCTCTCTCTCTCTATGTTTGATTTTCTTTCGATTAACATTTATGATAAATGAGCCAATTTAAGGCTTCATTCATTTGTGCCTGAGGTTGTTAAAACCTGACTTACTGGTTTTGCTTCATAATCTCCCCCACACAGAAACAAAATAAGCTTGAGTTTAAAATAATCACTCACCATTTACTTCTCGTTAAAAATTCGTCCACATATAAAAATATCCATTGCCAATCATCAGGAAGAAGTCAACCATTCAGAATGTTCATCTGATGATCAAAGCTATCAGTTAAATCTTTGTACAAACAGATTCTTATCAGAGGGTTTTTTTGATATTATAGTGAGTTCAGTGGTTGAGATCATGAGTCAATTGAATCTAGACAACTATGAAAAACCTAGAAGCACTGGATGGCGGTTTCTTCTTATTGTGGGACTCGTCAGTAGAGCGTGTTCATGATCCCACCAAACGAGATTCGAACCCAAGATCTATCAGTCTCGCGCAAGATTGATCAACCTCTAGACCACTGAGCTGGTCGGCATCCAACCGTGTTAATGTCTAACTTCAACTAATCCACAAAATATAGCGAGACATCCACTATTGTCTTCAGTGAGTTACTATTTCACAACAGACCCGGATGATCTACATTGGTCACTGCTTCTCACTAGAACTTCAGGAAATACTTTTTGAAGCTAGTCACCGATGAGCATATGTTGATTCATATCAGAAGGGTTATTGTGGATATTATAGTAATTTCAGTGGTTGAGATCATGAAGCCATAACACTATGAAAAACCTGGAAGCACTGGATGGCCGTTTCGTCCAAATTCTAGTTTCTAGGGTTTTGAATTTTCCCTTTAGGAAAAAACTAATCAATTCAGCTAAGGAGTCTCGAACAGGGTGAAACCTGGCATTCTGATTTCTGTTTATAATCACAATACAAATTTATAGCTTTTCATGGTAGCAACAAAATTACACTGACTAAACAAAACTAAATCATCACATAAACAATGGAACCTATAGAATGTTAAACATTATTTAATCTGAAAAACATGAAATCTATTCATAAATTAAGAAAAGTAGAAACATCACTAAACACAAGTTATACTCCTACTCCTGCTACTACTACTGGTACTACCACTACTAATACTACTACTACCACTACTACTGCTGTTTATACTAATACTAATACTACTACCATTCTGTTATTCATTGTAGTCATTATATTTCTCTTGCCAAATATCTACGCAAAACACATTACATGTAAAGAAATGCGCTCAATTAGTATGTATACTTACAACATATTAGTAGCGGCAATTCACAACTCTTTTAAATAAACCACATTAGAAAAAAAGGAACGAAACAAAACAGAAACTGATCTGACATTGTCTTAATTATTATGTTCTAATGATTAGTAATATATACTAATGTAACAAATGTAATTCGTTTCACACTAATAAACTACAAGTAAAACAATTATGTCGGTCAAAGTAAAATAACAAACCGATCGAGAGTAAAAAAATCAATAAAGAAGTGGAAAATAAACAACAATAGAAATGTATGTTCTCTTTCGAATATTTAGTATTTGAAGGGCAAACTTGTTTTAAAGTCACTTAATAGTAAGTTGATGGCGGAACTCTGGAAGTTATAGAATCCTTCACGGTCTTGGGAAGCATCATCGATGAACAAAGAGGATCAGGTGCAGACGTAAAGGCGAGGAATTAGCAAAGCATGGGCCTCATTCCTGCAATTGAAGAACATGTGAATCCAAAACAACTTCCAACGAATATCAGAGTCAGAATCTTCAATGCGAACGTCAAGATAGTCCTATTGTATGGAGCTGAAGCGCGGAGATCTAATACAACCATTATCGAGAAGGTACAGTATTTACCCGGTCTTGGGACCAGCAGTAACTCCGGAAGAGCTACAGGCAAGATAATCGACATCCATTGGCCGGATACCATCGGCAACACCATTCAGTGGGGGGGAGGAACAAATCATCTTCCAGCTGAGAAGGAAATTAGGAAAAGACGATGGAAATGGATAGGACATACATTATAGAAATCACCGAACTGCATCACAAGGCATGCCCTAACTAGGAGTCGTGAAGGGAAGCGGAAAAGTGGAAGGCCAAAGAACATAATACGTCGGGAAATAGAATCAGAT